GATATCATAATAGTGATCTGATGAATGACAGTTATTAAGCCCTCTGTTCATCCACTGTATTGAGCGTGATGAGGCAAGTCTCCAACCCAGAGTTAGACTTAGTAGAATATGATGTATAATGAAGTGTTGTATTTCCAAACTAGTTTAATATTAGTTGCCCAAATTTATCCCGTAGACCCATCCACGAATCCCATGTTCGTATGGACCCCTTAAGGCTGGCCATTGGCAGGAAGACAAATTCCCGCCATATGTAGTTATGCCCAAGCGATTCGTGACCTAAACTCCATAGCCTGGCGTGCCACAGAACAGCTCCGAAAGTTAAGCACTTGTTGGCCGCAAATCAAGCCAAGATGAGATTTTCACAAGGCTCCACGCCCCCCAGAACCCGTCGTAGAATGGCATGGGATTCAACCAGCATAGTACCAATTCCCAGTCGCACCCTCCAACCCCGTAAATTCTAATTTTCACGCCAACTCCAGAATACGCGACTTTCATCCCTCCAGATCTGCCAGATCCGGTATATCTGACTGCAAAAAAGAGCGACCCCACACAAATTTTCCGTACATGGTAAGGTTTCTCCAACGTACTTAGAGCTCCAGCTTATAATAAGGTGAGATAGGGAACGGGATTTATCCAAAATGAGTGACAACAACTTCAAACTGCCCAAACTGCCGGTCGAATTGGTGGAACAAGATACTCGGGAGATGGACAGGAAGAGTTTCGCCAGTTTTGTGAACGTCTGCCGAAAAACGATCTGCTCCATTGCCGAACCGTATCTATACAAGGCAATCAGCCTGACTCCATCAAAGGCTGCCTATCGTGAGGTGTTGACCTTATTGGGAGCCATTTGTAAACCGCCTCATATGGCTTCACGTACCGAAACACTCAATATGGACGAGCCGGAGAAGGACACAAGTGATGTGATGGAACTCGTTCAAATGGCTGGTTTGGATACACAACCAAGTGCACATGAGAGCATCTCACACCTGCTGTCCAAATTGCCCAATCTTCGCTCCCTTTTCACCTCCACGCTTCCAGGAGCAATTCGGGTTTCACTATGAAACGTTTGGACAATAAACCTCTCAACTTTTTCCTCCCTAAGGAAGCTCGTAACGCTTCAGTTGCCGGCGCATTGTCTGTTCATATGCTTATCCCCAACACCAGTTTTGCCTTCGACACTGGAACGCCTAGATGCGAAAGAGTTGATCGGATCGACGGAGAACAGATATGTCAAGCAGAAGCCTGTCGAGGGTACAGATGTATGCGCATTGAAATTCATCGACTCAAGGTGTGCTATCCGGGAGTTCAAAGAAGTCGAGTTGCGTGCCATCTGCAATGACAAGGGGGTTGGCGTTAGAACCGAATCATAAGGGATTGCAGCGGGGTCGTGAACCTTGGAGATATTAATTGCAGGCTGATTGAGAGTGGGCAGCGAGAACATGGCCATCGCGAGGTGCATGGAGAGCGTTCTTCATAGGAGGCCACTTGGAGCTGGTAGCAGCCAACATATTCCCGCCACGGGACCCACATATAAAGGTTAACTAGGCTGCCGCTAGCCACTAGAGAGATCATAACAACCAACCCTCTCTTAAAACTACGTTACAGAGCTAGTAAGACTTGTGCTTGCCACGAAGACCCAAACTCCATGTATCGAAGCAAGAACTTGGTAAGTTCTATTATCGAAGATTCTGGAATAATAAGGCCCTGACGCTGCTGCTCCCAGCGTTCGCAGTGTATCAGAACATGTTCGACTGTTTCCCATTCATACCCACAGGGGCACCGTGGGGTGGGGAATTCAGGTACCTTACACCGGTTTAGGAAAGCTGCCAGTCCGGTTTTCCCTGACCTCAATTGGATGATGATAGTGCTGCGAGCCTTGCGCAGGCCGGTGTGCCACTTCAGAATTTTCTTGTCTGGGGGCCGGCCATGCCGCTCCCCCCAGGGGGGCTCACGTCTTTTCCACCTCTGCACCCACCTCCAGAACTGCTCGCGCTTCAGCCAGTGATTATATGAGGCTTGGTCCAGGTTGGCTCGTTGTTCCGGTGTCATCTCTGCTGGGCTCTCTCCTAGCAG